GTTTCTTTAAGCTGTCCTCCTCCGTTTGGTCTCAGAGTTTTCAGCCCGTCCATCCCTTTGGGTGAGGGGGCAGTAACCAACGTGAACCTGACTGTCTGGGGCTCCTGGCTGTTTCTGTCTCAAACCATGCAGGATTATGGCACTCCCTCTGTTATCGGTGCCTCTTTTCTCTGCAAGTTCAGCCGCGGACGTGATTTCTCCTGGGACGACGCGCGCCTGGCTGGGCTTGGAGGAGTTCTGTGTTTGCCGATGCGTGGCGTTGCTGTAGCTCCGCCAGTCCAGCGTACCCCAAACCTGTGGGCTGGGTCAGACACAACTGCTGCTCGCCTCTGGCCGTCAGTCTCACATTCACATCAGAGAGATGCAAAACAACCCCAGACCTGCACTGATTTACCTGGTTTCTTAGGAAGAGAAGAGAGAATTATAATTTTTTTTTTTAACTTTTATTTTCTAACTTTCAATTTTTATGGGTTTGTGTTCTCTTTGCCGATGCCCGTTTGCATTGAATAATTTGCTGCATGTGTAAAATGTAAGAGGGATGTGTAATATGTATTTCTAACGTAGAAAACTATATTTTTTTATTTTTGAGATTTTTTTTTTTAAAAAGGAGAGAAAAAAATAGTATTTTTTCAGGAAAAAACCACGCTGTGGGCGATTTCCAGTCAATTCTCCTGAATGGGGTGCAGGGGGTGTGACAGGAGGGGGTGTTTGGTGGGTCTGGAGTTGGTGAAGCCCCCAGTGGGGGGCTTGAGTGTGAGTTGTCCCAGCGGTGGTGCCTTATGGCTGTGACATCTCTTCACTCACTGGGGCTGGGAAAGTGGTCTGGGAGTTGGACCAGGAGATAATGCTGGGTTTTGGCCTGTTTTCAACCAAAATGATTCATCCTGGCCATGGAAAGTTGCTCTGAGCATTGATTTTCTGTGGAGTCACTGCAGCTGTGTCTGTGATAACCATTTACTGCAGTGCAAGGTGTATAAACCAGGCTGGGGCTGACCCAGGAGCGTTTCAGAACTGGTTGTGAGTGGGTGTAAGCAGCATTTCGCAGGGTTTCAAAGCAGGAATATGATTTTTAAAGACGCAGGTGTGCGGCTTCACTCAACCTCCAGACCCCGGCGCTTGGCTCCCAGAGCTGCTTTGGAAATGATAAACAGCGTCTGAATGCCTAAAATTGCTGTCTTAAACTGCCATGGGGAGGAAATTGCCATCTGCAGTAGAAATGTGGATTGTGAGTGCTGTCTTTTCCAGCTTTTTGACCTTTTTAATGCTTTTTTTCCCCTTTTCTTCTCGGAGACTTCCATTAAATCTGCAGCTAACCATCAGAAGCCAAGCAGTGGCAGCGTAAAGGCGCCTGCACGGGCAGGATGTGTGAGCAGCATCCTTTTTTATTAGGGAAATGCACTGAAAGTTCCTGATTTTAGGTCGGTTTGAATGCAGGAGCTGTTTGATCCTGGCCTTATTCAGGCTCATTTTCAGGATCAGTTTGTGCTTTCAGTGGCATTAAGTGCTTGAAAGAGAGGAGATGAGCTCCCTTTTCTCAGGGCATGGTGTTACGTCTAGAGTGGGTTGCACCACAGATCAGACATTGATAAATTGAGGTTTATAAAGAGACAGGGTGCACCTTTAGTGGAAACCAGGCTGGGAAATCCGGCTCTGGTTTAGTCCCACGGTTGTTGTGACACACCTGAGTATTACAAATGATCGTGTCATGGGGATGGGGGTGGGTTTGGGAGAAATGCTTGTTGTGGTTTAGGGCTGGGCTGGCCACTGAGCCCTGGCCAGACGCTCTCTGTGAACCCCTCTGCCCTCCCC